AATCGGCACAGCAACTGAAAGTGGAAGGGGTAGGGGTATCGGCATAAGTTCTAAACTTCGAACACTTAACATAGTTTTAGTTTCTAAGTTCTAAATTTATTTTAACCGATTTATTTATACTCGTTACTTTTATTTCTAGACGTAATAATAAAACACATTACTTAACGGAAGAACGATTGTTAGTATAAATATAAATGTATACATCCTATTATACGAAAATTAAAAATATATAACGTAGTGTCATCTTTATTGATCACGTATTCTTTAAGCATTATTTAAGAATAACATCGAATTGAGATAACAAAGTACGTCAACGTTTTTTTAATCAGGATGGAACGTTATATCATCCGTTACGGATAAAATAAAATAATAAAAATAAAAATATTATAATTAGTAGATAAACTTTTTTTAATTAATATTTAGAAATAAAAATATGACATAAAAAATAAAGATAAGGTTTTATTTATTAAAAAATTGTTATAAATAAAAAATTAGGATTTTTATATAATATTTCATTAAAATTTCAAAATTTTTAAATATATTCAATATGTATATGTATGAGATTGATGAAATAAATTACAAAAAATATATACTTACAAAAATCCATAATTAATAAAATAATAAATTAAGTATATTGGTTTGTTTGCATACTAAAAAAATATGTATTTTAATTAAGAAAATTTAATTATTATATTATATATATATATATATTTTTTTTGTATATAAAATAATATATCAGAGAGGATAAGGTTTTTATTTATTTTATTAATAAATTGACTAAATTAAGATAGATACAACAAACTGTAAATATAAGTTTAAAAACTTACAACTTGGATTTGGAATTCTTAATTTTCCACGCAAGTTTTTGAAAGCACCAGTCTTTTTCTTTCGCCTGATAATCAAAGATTTTCTCTTTCTTATTTTCTTGTTCTAATCAGTTTCTTGAAATCAAGTCGTTACCTTTCTATTAACGGTAGGATTATTATGATTAACCCAGAAATCATCGTCCAATAAATTTTCCATCGATCACGGATTTCTTTGTTTCAGCCGTCTTCAAATCCGTTTTCCCGGCTTGCTAATCCCGAGTTTTTCTACTTCTCACTGTCTCTTCCTGTTCGAAAATGGTGGAAAACCCAAAATCCCATCTGGGTTTCTCTTCGTTTCTTCTCTTCTTCTTCGCGATTGCTTCGCTTTCTCTCTGCAAACCCGCACTTTCCGTCCCCGAAAGAGGACCCGACCCGAGTCCGCCAACAGTCTACGAAATCCTCGCCCAATACGGACTCCCAAGCGGGTTATTACCCGACTCGGTCACCGGCTACACACTCTCCGACGACGGCCGGTTCGTCGTCGAGTTGGCGAAACCGTGTTACGTGCAGTTCGACTACTTGGTCTACTACGAGAAAAAAATCACGGGGGAGCTCGGGTACGGGTACATCAAGGACCTGGAAGGGATTCAGGTGCAGCGATTCTTCTTCTGGCTCAATGTGAACGAGATCAAGACCGATTTGCCGCCGTCCGATTCGATTTACTTTCAGGTTGGGATCATCAACAAGAAGCTCAGAGCAGATCAGTTCAAGACTGTACATTCCTGCCGTAAAGGTGTCTCCGGCTCTTGCCAAAATTCATGGAAACGGTTTGTTGAGGTATGGGGTTTCACTGATTTTGTTTTATGTTGATGGATTCATCGCTGGTTTTCATATTTTTCGTGGAATTGCTTTGCGAATATGAATTAGTTCTGTAATTTTATCTGGATTTTTTTGCAGCTAAACCCTTATTTATTAGTGTTGGGGTTTTTAGTTATAGCATTTCTTGCTGTGGTTTTTACAGCTAAAACCCTAATTTTGTTACAGGATTGAATTATGTATGAATCAAATTCACTTTTACCTTTGAATTTCTTGGAGCAGAACTTCAATTTCTATTTTATCTAGCTAGGGATTAGAAACCCATTGTTTGAAATATGAAAAAGCATAGCCC